CCCAGGAAAACACAGGATGACCCCAGCTAAGACTGTAAGCAATAGAGGAGAGGGTGCCCAAACTGGCCTTGCCCTGGAGCGAGACTGATGAATATCTTAAATATCACCATAGAACCTTCATCCAGCAACTGATGGAAACAGAGGACCTGCATCGAACCAACTGGACTGAGCTAAGGATTTATCCCTACTGCTTGTACTGGCTTTATTGGGACCTGTTTTCTTTGGATGGATACCTTGCTCAGTCTAGATGTAGTAGGGAGGGCCTTGGACCTTCCCCAAGGCAATGTGCCTTACCCTCTCTGAAGAGTGAATAGGGGGTGGGGGAGCTAGGTGGAAGGAATAGGAGGAGGGGAGGGAATGGAAACTGAGATTGGTATGTAAAATTTAAAAAGATAGTTTGTTCTTTTTAAACTAAATAAATAATATGTGTGTATATGAAATATATATGAAATATTCTACCACCAGATCATCCTGCCCTCAATTATTCCCATGTTCTGTGGATTACTATTAGCATGTCTAAGAGTTGCTGAGAAGTAGGCCCCAGAACTCTCAGCTTGGAACCTCATGTCATATTACCAGCTATCACACTGCTCTACTTTATGGTTAGAAGCCCACTTCTAACCTAAAGCACACACCCCAGACTCAGACAATCCAGGTCACTCCTCACCTGCCTACTCAGGGCATTCTTTCTAGATGCTGTATCCACTTGTTTAGAAAAGGCGTGATCTGGATTGCCAAAGGACAGCATCACAGTGCTGGGTGTCTGCCTGCCCATGGGCTCCTCTCTGGTCTGATCCTTTTCCTGCTCAACCTTGAACACACATGTTTTCCTTCACCGATAATTCCATTAACTCTACAGGGGTCAGGCATGAAGCTAAGCGCAGGGGCAGCACAGTGACCCCACTTTGGGCTCTCTGAATCATAGCATCTATCCCCCCTCTACTCCTGTCCCCTCCAGAGCTCCACTGACTGCCCGCTTCTTCAATAAACACACCTGAAAGTATACCTACTCTGGAGTCTCAACCTGCAACCTGCTCCTTTTCCGGATGCCTGCAATTTTATCTAATTCGACATCTGATTACCAATGTCTCTGAGTTCTCTGAAGCTTTAAGAAGGAAAGCGTGGTATCTGCAAAGGAACCTTTGTCAAAGCCCACTTACAGGCCCTCTTGGAAGCATCAGTGAGCCACAGGAGGAAAAGGTGGCTGCCATCCAGCCTGTTGTAAGAAGAGAAGAAATTGCTCCACTGACTCGATGCGGGCATGTTTGTTTTTTCGATCTAAATGTGTAACAGGAAATTTGGCAGTTCACCTTTGTAAATCATTTGCATACACCATTTATGTATGAGCCAGATGGCGCCTCTTTGTTTTAAGAAATTAGAAATGAAAAGGGAAACCTATAAGAAGGACCTTATCTTTGCCTCTCCTCCTGACCTCCTGTGTACACTCTAGAGTCTTCACAGAGTGAGCAAACCCAAGCTGACAATGCATACGTTCACATAGGCATGCTCATGGATGCACAGGTGTGTGCACGCACGCGCACACACACACACACACACGCACCTAAATATTCTGTGTTTATCTACATTAGTTAGCAAGTTGAGTAGTCAGCAAGTTCTCAGTTCTAGTAATCAAGCATAGTAGAGCGGCAGAAATTAGACCCAGGTTACAGAGAGCATCCTCATAGTGTTTTGTCTATCTGATAAATCACCACATTCCTTGGGGCCTTAGCCAGTGTATACTGAACAAGAACGTCTTACATAAATCTCTCGAACACAGGCAGAGCTCCATGATTTGGAAGCAAGAACATATAAATGCTTGCCAGAAGAAGGGCAATGCTGATGACCCCCTCACTATTTCTATGGAAGTTGAAACCTCGGGAAGGAATTTTCCTTGAGGTGATCATCTTAACCCCACTCCTTTGGGGCAGCTCTATGAGCCTAGTTTATTTTCCAGTGGTCAGGAGGAGCTCCACTTTCGGATCCAAGAATCCCATCTGGGAATGAGACTCTATTTCCAATGTTCTTGTTTTGGGTGTGAGGGGTGCTGAGAGGGCAGTAAAGGCAATAGTTTGTCTAGTAAGTATTGCATTTCAGGCTCTTTGCACAAACTAACTTGCTTAACATAAACATACCTCTGCTGGGTAAATATTTTTCTCCTAATTTTCAAAATAAGAAAATTGAACAGAGGCAGTGCGCACATGGTGCTGATGGCGGCTGAACATTCGAGAGTAAACATAGCTGACATCAGCTCCAAATCCAAGAATTCTTTAGTAACACCAATGTCTTCCAAAGGGGATAAGACTTTGGGGACATTTTTGTGACCTCAGGTATATGTACTCTCCTGTCTTTCATTTTTCAAAAGATTTGGGGGAAGGAGGAGGGGTGTAAGCATACATCAAGGCATTGTAAGTAAACAAGTAGAGAGAGATGATCCAATCTAATCTTTGAGAATGGCCACTTTCACGCAAATAACTATTCTCCTTCCTTTCATACTTCCCTGGAAGCAAAGACATATCTTTTCAAGTCATCTAGTCTCAGCTAAGAGCTTGACTAGAAGCTTATGAAGAGAGAATTCAAGATACCTGGACTGTGGACAATTCCCATTGACCTCACATCCTTAAGTTATGTCCTGACACCCAAAGAAATGAGCACGGTTTACTCCTCGATGCTTTGCCATGAGTTTGAGTACAGCTCATGGTTGTTAAAGCAACGGTGAAGGTGTACCATTTGAATAGTGTTTTTATGGCTTTTTTAAACCTTTAGACCAAAGGAGAAATATTAAATGCAACTGGCAAGAAGCCAGTTTCAAAGCTCAGATTGTATATTCTGGTCTGATATGGTCTCCTAAGACCTGGTAGAGTCCATAGAGACCAAGAAATTATAATTAAACATCTTCCCTGCACAGAAAGAGACAAACAAAAACCAGCAAGCCATCCCCTACTATCATCAGCACCACTATAGATCTGAATTTAGCCAGGCAAGACAGGAAACCCCACTCTATGGAACAGAAGACACTTAAATGATTTCAGCTAGGCTCTATGATCCATGAATGTCCTTAGTAACCACACCCCAAGCTTTGGATATGCCTGGTGGAGAGAAGGCTCTAGATGCTGAAGGCAATGCTTTTGTACATCCTGATAGGTCTTCTCTGACCATCAACCTGTGGGTGTGCCACACCGTGCTCCCGTTCCTCTATCTGGGGATACTTGGTAGGATGGGTGACTAAAGCCAGCCAGTTTGTTGGAGACAGGCTGCATTTTCCAGCTTTGGTTTATTTTGCCTCCTGTGTGTTCATGGTAGCACATGGTTTGTCATCTTTTAGTTGAACCATGAACAAGATACTCTGAAGTCATCATAAAGGGCATTTCTAAAACATCCCACTTTCTTCTGCACTGTTACTAAACTGAAGCTCCTTGAGCAATCAGTATCTATACCTGAGTGATCAATCACGTATCACAATGTTACCAGGTGCACCCAATAAATCTAACAAGAACGTAAGTACTTGCTAGCCCCCAAATTCTAGCCTCCTGGTTTACCAAGATCAGGCAACAGGATCATACTTCACAATATGATCATTTGTTTCCTACCATGACTAGACAATTGGCTTCCATTCTCCTGCTATGAACTGATTGTGATGTGTCCTTAGTCCCCAAGCTAAAACAAACATTTGGTTCATAGCAGAAGAACGGCAGGTAATGATATTAGGAGAACTTTTTTATAAGGTCATTAGATCATTAGATTTAGTGATCTCACAGAGGAACCTTAAGGAGACCCTCTGCCTTTTCTACCATAGGAGAACACAACAAAAAGACCATTTATGAACCACAGAGCCAGCCTTTAACAGACATGAAAGCTGCCTGAGCCTTTGGAACTTTGAGAATATTCTTGTATCATCATAAGGTCCATGCTTTGTGGTAATTGTGTTCATGTGTCACAGAAGAAAACATTATTTGCTGCACAATATTGTCCTTCTGTCTCCTATGCCACAAATTTAAACTCTTCCCTTAGTCAAAGTTCCCAAAGTAAGTCTTCCCTATTTTAACTTTTTTTCCTTCTTACTTTTTTCTGAAACAAGGTGTCTTTTTGTAGACTGACTCAAACCTCTAGATCCACTCACTTCAACCTTTCAGGAATAGAGATTACAGGTAAGTGCCACTATAGGCAACATCCATCTTCCTTATGGCAGAAGGAGGTGTCTCCCAATCAGCTTGCAGACATGACCCCATCTGTAGGCATCAAGTTGTACCCATGTTTTTCTTTCTGGGACAAATGCCATTCATGGCCATTCACCTTTAGCCTGGCCATAATAACATACAAAATCTCCCCATAAATGAGAGTAAAGATCTTGCAGTGGGAGATAGATAACTGTATGCAAATGAAGCTTCCTTACTGTATGCAAATGAGTCAGCCTTTCTCCAGGGCCACCCTTTCTTCAGAGCCAGAAATTGACAAGATGCTTTACTTTCTTTTTTTTCCCCCACAGCCAGTAGGATTATGTTTAGCAATGTACTGACCCCTTCTAGTTTACTTTGGGTTTCATTGTCCAGAAAGATCTGCCTTTGGAAACAAGATCACTCTCACATAATCATGGGGTAATTTCAGAGAATAAAACATGTTGTGAGTGAGGCTAGGTCAGGGGATGGGTTGGAATACTGAGAAAGCACCAAGTTAGACTAGACTGTCTGAGTGTCCGCTTGAACATAGATAGAGTTGTAGGCTATAGGTATCCAACTCTGTTTGCATAGATTCAGTACGATCATAATGTGCAGGTTATTGCAATGTATAGACAGAGTCCAGCCTAATGTCAAAGAGGAAGGAGAAATGGCCTGCCATGATATGCCAAGATGCAGGAGTGGCTGAAAAGATAACTGTTGAGTGCATATGTGAGCATGCGTGTGCATACACGTGCACCATAGTGACAGGGTTAATGGACAATGACAGACATGTAAGCAAGGCACTAGCTTGGAAACGGAGTCCTGCAGCTGGGAAGGTCTCCTTACCCTGTAGTAATCAGTACTGTAAACATCCCTGGACATGCCAAAATCACCAATCTTCACCAGTAGGTTGGCTCCAACCAGGCAATTCCTAGTGGCCAGGTCCCGGTGCACGAAGTGCTGCGAGGCCAGGTACACCATGCCCGAGGCGATCTGACTGGCGATGTGGAGCATCTGTGAGAGCCCTAGCTCCCCCTTGGTCTGGCGTGGCTGCCCATCCACGAGGATCATCGCATCTGGCCCATGGGCCCTGCAAGAAGGGGGAAGAGAGATGGAGCAGAGAGAACTCGATAGATCAAAGGCAAAGACTTGGTGGTTTTCAGTGCGCTTGAATGTCCTGCAGAAAAGAAAGAAATCTCCTTTCCAGGCTACCTGTGCCTGTTTCTAGTGAGTGTGGCTATGGGTGAAACCATAAGATCCCCACTAAGATAACACAGATGTACTCAGCTGGAGGAGGAAACAAACCTCATTCACTAACTACCACCTAATTCTTCTCAGATGCTAGGTGCTTATTCTAGAGTAATTAATAAGGTAACCACTAACACTTACTGTGTGTATATGTCAAATGCTATTCCGATAGTTTTAAATACATTCATTCAATCTTCATATTTAATCTTCATACCCTGATTTTTTTTAAGTTGAGGCACAAAATGATTAGAAAGCTCAACCAAAGTCCTAGATATTTCAGAATAGCTATATGGTAGCTGTGAATTTTATCTATGACTATAAATATGCGTTCACCTGTAAAAGCTGCCATAAGGGGTCTAAGAAGGATTTTAAAGAGATCTTGAGGCCTCGCCCATTGGAGTTTTGATTGGCTATGCAGTGCTCCTTCATTTGCACTTCTGACAAGCTCCCCGTGCTGATACTCCTGATTGGCAACCCACAACCCCCAGCTGTAAGTGATGTAAGGCTTGCTCCACACTTCTAACCACTCCACAATACCAAAAGCAAGGCAGGGTGAAGAAACCCTTTGTCTCCTTGGGAGCCCCACACTCCTTCCCACGAGCAAATCAAGCCTGTCTGTGTTATGATAACACCCTGCCCTGTCAGGTCGGTCACTTTCAGTGTTCCCTCTTTCCTGCCGAAGGTCCAATGAGCCATAACCACACCGGGGCCCTTATTTACAGAGAGGAGGACCAACGATCCTTGGCGCACAGCAAAGCCCCGGCCTGCTTTACTGCTTCTCCAATTTCCACTGAGAAGTACCATTAAATAGGAACACATTCTGTTTATTATCTTTGGTGGGCCTTGCCCCCTCCCTCCATAGGAAAGCAACTGAATCAGCTAGCCAGGGATGTGGCAGGAGGCCAGTTCCCACTCCAGTATACCAGGATACACTCCTGAGGGCCCCAAACTTCACTAACCCGGGAGACATGTTAGCAGGTAGAACTGACCCAGAGGGTCAAGCAGGGAACACTTTGGAAAGAAGACTGCAAGCCCACTTGTAGCAAGGGTTGATGTGACTCGGGATTTCAGTTTTTAGCTTTGGAGAAGCTTGGCCTTGACTAACAGAGCCTAGAAAGATGGGTGGGAATCTGGACCACCCCTGGAATTCTGGGCAGCAGTTGCCACAGAATACCTGGAGTGACTGTTGGCCTTAATTTGAGTTGATCCTCTTGCTATCTTTGGGAAGAGAGTTCAAAGACAGACACAGAAGTATCACTACGTTCTTCTTATGTTCCTGCTTTGGAGAACGAAGGGGTGAGGAATTCTTTGCAGACACAACTTCTTGCCATGTGTATCTGCTTACAGCTCAAATGCAAAATGCTTTCAAGAGACGATCAGAATATTTGGTCTCGAATGAGGGAACATTTTTAGGAGGTGAGGGACCCTTGAGAAGCAAACCCTTGGTAGAGGAAGCAGGTCGCTGGCATGAGGTTATCATTCAGCTTATACCCCAAACTCTTCTTGGTCCAAACTCTCTTACTCCTGATTTTAGATATGATACAACCCCATGTGCCAGCACCGTGTCTTCTACTGTGATAAACTGCATCCCTTCAAACTGTGAGTCAAAATCAATCCTCCCTGTCCTTACGGGGCCTCTTGTGAAATAGTTGGTCACAATGGTAAGAAATTATTTCTTTGGTCTTGTGGTTTTTTTCCCTTAAACTTTGTGTTTCTCCTGCCCTGGTCTTTACTCTTGCTTCTCCCTCTTCCTCTCTCCTCTGTTTTGTATTCCTCATCTTTCCTTGGAATAAAGAAATACACAGGAACTGGGAGTTTTGAGCCCTTATGGTTGTACTTGGGACTGGAGAATCAGCTGTCTCTCTGGAGAAGGTTCTGTGATGTACAATAGGGCAGAGGAGTGGAAGTACAGGATGAGGGAGATTATGCATACAAAGGCAGGGAATCATCTAGAAGCTCTCGACTCATAGCTCTTATAATAATAATAGACATAACTTTTACAATAGCCACCATTCGTTCAGTACCCTGCTGCATACAAAATGCACCCAGGCATCATATACACATTGCCACCCAATGCTTCTAGCAACATCTCTATGAAGTGGTCATAACTTGATCCATTTATAATTAAGATAAGCCTCCATCTCTCTTATGCTAAGGACTGAGTTCTCCAGGAATCAATTTCATTCTGAATTCAAGTTCCAGAGATATAGAGAATCTAGTGGGTTTTCTCAGTATCTCTTGGGCAGTTATCTGGACCCCTGACTCATAAGGAGAGATCTGAAGACTCTTTCCAAGTCTGACTCTACCCTTTTCTTTCTCAAAGTCTGAATTCTGACAAGTAGAATTTACCTGAATACAAAATGCCCTTTCTTTATCAATCACCTCTGCTTTCTGATGAGTTTATAGTTTGATACCTTCACATTCATTATCAAAAAGTCTCTGGTCAGGGGAAGGAGCAGGTTAAAGATATAGCTACTAATCTCACTTGACAAGTCAGACACTTAAGACATTCCCACATTAGGGCAAGAAAGCAGACAGCCCTAAAACCAGGGTTGTGAGTCTCAACATGAGATCCTCACAGGATATACCCCAGGCCTTACTCTACTTCTCAGTCCATCTGAGAGCCAAGAAGAAAAGTACAGGTGTCGCACTGTGAATACAAAATTCTAAGTCTAGCTGGAAAGGAGGCAATGCGTAAGAATTAAAGGGTTAGGTCTAGAGATAAAGTAAAGTGCTTGCCTAGCATACATAAAACCCTCAGTTCCATCCTCAGAACCACATAAACCAGTCACAGGAGCGCACACTTGAAATCACAGAACATGAGATAGAGATGGATAGATAGATAGATAGATAGATAGATAGATAGATAGATAATAAACAAAGATAAATAGGTAAGATAAAGACATAGATAGATACATAGATAGATACATAGATAGATAAATAGATAGATGATAGATGAAGATATATATGATAGATAGATATGATAGGTAGATAGATTGATGATAGATGTTATAGATAATAGATAGGTAGATATGATAGATAGATGATAGATAGATAGATATGATAGGTAGATAGATTGAAGATAGATAGATGTTATAGATAACAGAGATAGATAGATAGATAGATAGATAGATAGATAGATAGATAGATAGACAGACAGACAAATAGATAGGGATAGAATAGACAGAAGAGTGCAGTGGTCTTGATTTGTCATCCTCAGACTTGAGTTCATAGTGGCACGTATGAATTGTGGTCACAGAAAAAAAACCAAAGGCTCACTGGGACAGGGTGAGGCACTTTATCTATTCTCGCTTACCTGAGGAACTTGTTAAGGTCTCCATGCTTCATGTATTCAAAGACCATGATGAGTGGGTCCCCGTCACCACACACCCCATAGAACTTGACAATATGTTCATGCTGCAGGTTTGTGAGCAGCTCCGCCTCCCTCTGGAAGTCCTTCCTGGCAGCCAAGGTAGGATCCTTCAGGGCCTGAGAACCACACAACATCATCAGTGTTTAGCAACCAGAGGACAAAGAGCTGTCCTCTCCAGCTGGTGAAGCTGTTACCACATCCTTCTGGACCAATGGTGAATATGATCTATTTTAAAACATGAAGGCAAAGCGCACCGCTGAAGCCCTTTTCCATTCAGCATTTTGATTCCTGTCAAAGGAAAGCCCCACATTCCAGGCTCCAGCCAGTGACTTCAACCTACGTTTTTTGTCCATCCACAAGCTTCTCTCAGCATGAGTGGCAGGGAACAAAGCTATGAGACAGAAGGCCTGGAAGATCCCCGATCATAAAGCTCCCCATACAGAATAAGTCCCTCTGATACAGTAAACTGAACAGCAGTACACAAATTGCTTTATATCTGCAAATCACGAGACACTTCAGAAGTCAGGCGATGGATGTCATGATGCCATCCTTGGGAGTCCTTGTGTCTCAATGGTGAAAGAGGCTGTATTGACAGAGGAGAGTGAGAGCTTGGCTAGTCACTGTGTTCTCCAACCAAACGCCTAGCAGAAGTTTTAGGGGGAAAGTAGGGTTGAAGATGGCAGATGGAAGCCTTATATGCATGCAAGACAGGGTAGACAGCTACTGAGTCTCAGTGCAGGAGGAGGTGATTAGCCAATGGAGGCCATTCTACCAAGATGCTATGACTCTTCCCTGTAGGGACTGCAAGCCCAAGTGTAACCAAGAGAGAAGTATAGATCTAACCATTTCTTATTCTATGAAGATGAATACCGCACAAAGAGCAAACACCACCAAGGTGGGGCTTTCCGCATCAGCAGGGGCGGACTAAACTTACCCAGTGTGTACAAGAGACAGTGAACAAGCACTACTGGGATAGCTCATCTTGATTGTCCACTTGACACACCCAGGAAGAGCGGGACCTTCCATCAGATTGGCCTGTGGGTATGTCTGTGTGACATTTTCTTAATTAGTGATTGATGTCAGAGGGTCCAGCCCACTGTGGGTGGTGCCATCCCTGGGCAGCTGGTCTTGTAAGGAAAATAGTTGCAGGCGAGCCTGGGAGCAAGCCAGTGAGCAGCATCCTCCATGGTCTCTGCCTCAAGCTCCTGTCTTGAAGTTGAGCTCTTGCTCCGACTTCCATAATTGACTGGCATCGGTAAGATGAATGAAAGCCTTTCCTCTACACATAGCTTCTGGTCATGGCACTTAGTATCACAGCCACACACAGAAAGAAACAATCCAGAAGAGCCATCCTGAGGATGGGCAATGTTGTCCAAGATGAAGGATGGTCTGTTCAAGCAACAGCCCTATGCTAAAGGAGAAGTCCATGCAGTTAGACCTACACATTTCCAAGCCTCCTATAACTGTCTCAGGGTCATCAGACAGATGCACCAAGTCATGTCCACTCATTATTCAAGAAATAAGGATAAAACCAGCCAGCGGGTCTTAGGTCATTGCGAATCTAAAGTGACTAGAGACTGGTGTACACTCTCTTTGCTGGATAGCTGGCCTTTTGTGGTGATTCCGACAAAATGGCCTGCTATGCCAAGTGCTGCAAAGGCCTCCCTAGCCAGAGATCGTTCTCCATCCACTGCAGCCTCAAGTGCTGAAATCTGCCAATTGGTTTGGATTCTCATACTGCAGCGGCACGAACCTGCAAAGAATGCATCAAGTATGCCTCTCCAGCTCCTCAGTTACCACTACACATCAGGGGTGTTGGCTGATGAGCACGAAAAGGGTATCCACCGCTTTGGTTCCCCATTGCACATTTCTGTAGCTGGAGAAACTGAGGCTGAACCTGTTTGAGAACCAGCCCATGTTCACACAGTCTAAGTGATGGGGAGCATTGTGGACCTGAGCAATCCTTTGCTGAGACTCAGAGGGGTACCTCAGAGTTTCGCAGGCATGTCTCCAGGGCCACCAAAACAAGAGTGGCTTCCTCATCTCAAGTCCCACCCCAACTTCAATCAGCATCACCTTTTCTTCTTTAGAAAATTTACAGGATTTCACCAGGAAAAAAAATGTTCAATTAAATGGCCTACTAACAAAAATACTGAAAGTTACTTTTACCAGACCTAATTCTTATTTTTTTGGACCAAGTTACATGCTATATAGCTGAAAAATGATCCTGACTTCCTGCTTCCACCTCAGAAGTCCTAAGATTACACCATGCTCTACCATGCTTGGTCTTATATGTACTGCTGAGGGCTGAACCCAAGGTGTTGTAGATACCAGGCAAGAATCCTGCCCACTGAGCCACAGCCCCTGCTTCCAAAACCTATAATTTGATGTGATGATTCTTTCATCTCTGGTGGATACCTATGAATAAAGAAATATCTGTAATGGCCACTTGATACCGGGACAAAGAGTTGCCAGCCAAAGTGCCATGGGGAAAATAACCTTTTCTGGTGAACCATCTCCCTGCCATAGCCCTGAGCTACAAGGCATTAAACATGGGCACAAGATGACCGAGTGTGACTCATTTATTTTCATGAGGAAGAGGTATGGGGAAAAAAAAAACAGAGGAACTGAGCATGTGTGGGATGGGAGAGGGTGAGGATTTATGTGAACGCTGGATTTATGGGAGAGAAAAGTAGATCAGAGTCGGGGGCAGCCAAATGGCCTCTCTCCATCTCTTTAAATCATTCTCTCCCACAGCCTCGGCATCAGGGGCAGCCATGGGATATTTCTGCTCTCAGCCCTTGGGCAGTAGCCGCCAGGGTCTGTCCCTCAAGCTGGCACCCTAAACTGCAAGGCAGACAGAGTTCCTCCTGAGAGATGGAGCACAAGGCGGGCGCTGTCTCCAGGGCTTCCACACCCTTCCCCTCTCCCTTCACACTGGGGTTTCCAGCTGGTGGGTCAATCCTGAAGTCCTTCTGTAACTGTCAAAATGAGGAGTGTAGCAAGTGGGGGCCAGAGCTGTCAGTGACCACAGTACCTGGGGATTAATGCAACTGGGACGGAGATGACAGGAGAATAATGGGGAGGGAAACTGGGCCAAACGCTCTCTGGCCCCGCTCATGGGATTCTATATCCAATACTTCCTCGGTTGCTGGGCAACTGCAAAATGGGTCACCACGAAGTGGCATGGGACGGAGTTGATGCTTATCATAGCCACCAACTGTTGGCACAGGAAAGAGGGTCTTGCCATGGAGCCTGAAGTTGGGGACATTCCTGGCCGGCTGCTTTGTCTAGCGAGCACAGGCAATGAGAAGTGGAAACTAACTCCTTGTCTTCAAAATGTAGGGGACATGTCCCTTCTGGTCCTGTCCTCCACATGCGCCAGCTGCTGAGATCTCCAGCCCTGAGCAAGGATTTCAGCTGGACCGTTCACTAGGACAGGGGGAGGCAGGAACAGATGTGCTCAGCAGCCCTAATCCTTCCCAGACAGCTGACATCTACATGCTGGTCAAGAGCTGCCTTGCATTTGCCTTTTCTGTGGTGGGGAGAAGATACTTCAAGGACTGTTATCTTTGAGATTTCATTAATACCCTGAAACTCATTTTACCATGCATAGGAGATACGCACAGTCCTGGGTGTTCAAGCAAGGACTCACGTGTGTGCACACAACCAACCTGTTTAGTTGTGCAAGCCATTTTATTTCTGTCCCTCAGAACCTGTTGTCACTTCCCCTTGTTGAGATTCACAGAGGGGGACGAAGAGGGGGTGGTTACCTCATGAACAGATGCCCGTTTCTCAAACGTTGTCATTCCCCATTGTCTGCAGCATGAAACCCCAACTTCTTAACAGTCCTACACTGAAGAGGTCAGCTAGACCCATCTCCTTCCACTTTGACTCCCCAACTCCATGTTCCCCTCATTTATTATGGTTCAATCTCACTGGTCTTTCTGTACCTGTGAGCCTTTAACTGCCTCAGGACCTTTTTACTTGATATTCTCTTGGCCCTAAAGACTTCCAGCAGAGCTGTAGAAATAGAACTGGACAGTTAACTTGGTACTCGCCTGAAGAAGGACGCTGAAAAGAAATCCCACACTAGCTCAGAGTTGAGAAATATACAGTTATTTATTTAAGGGGAGACTCACAAATCAGAATCCTCTGCTGGAACGGAGATCATAAACCAAATCCTGCAGCCAGAAAACCGACTGCACACATGCTCTACTCGCATAAATAGTATAAGAGGCCACGCCCCAGTGGGCGGGTAACTACTGCCTGAAAGACTTCCTACAGCACCGCCCTTCAACTCTGCAGAGCATACTGACTGGGGCCATGGGGCCCAGAACCCTCCACAACTCTTGTCACCTACAGACGCACTGATGTCTCCAAGAGAAGTTTACTCTGGGAATTGACTGTGATTATCCACAAATTTATTCTTGAGAGTTAAACTTGATCATATGATCACTCCATGTAATGAGGCATCATGAGAAACAATTAAATATGAGTGGGAAGCTGGCAGTTTCCATAGACCCCAGGATGAATACTTTGCAAAGATGTGTTAAAGGTAAATGATTGAAAACAGGTAGCAGTGGAAGAAAGGTCATGTGGAAAATTGAGAAAACAGTAAAAAGCTGAGGTTTTAAAAACCCAGTATGAAAGGAAGACCATGAAGAATTAAGATCTAGCTTCCCAATAATTTACCACGTGTCCTGTGGCCACCTGGTAAAACCAAGAGTCTTGCATGTATTATCTAAAATGAATGCAAGTCAATTCTAAACAAAACAGTAAAATGTTAGTGGAGTGTTTGCAAACACTGCTACAGATTTTAATTTAAGATCGATGTTTTTTGTAGGCTTTGTGTGTTTTTCCTCTACTTATTTTTATTATCTATCTATCTATCTATCTATCTATCTATCTATCTACCTATCTATATATCTATCTGTTTATTTGTTTTTTTGAGACAGGATTTTTCTGTGTGAGAGCCCTGGCTGTACTAGGACTTGTTTTGTAGTCCACAATGGCCTGGAACTCACAGAGATCTGCCTGGCTTTTGCCTCCCGAGTGCTGGGATTAAAGGCATGCACCATCACCACCCAGACTCTCTTCTTTATGTTTGAGATTATATCATATACCCCTCCCTACTCTCCTTCAAATCCCGGCCTCTTTTTTCATCAACTGTTATTGCAAGGCTGTGTCTGTGTGTGTATGCATATGTATGTGTGTTCTTGTGTATACCCATATTCTCAAATGTAACCTGTTGAGCAATGTTGCTTGTCTGTTATGAGTTTAGGGCTGGCCCTTTGGCACTAGATGACCAACAGACATGCTCCTCTCTGAGCAAGACCTCTCCCGCCTTATCTTTCCTTGTTGCCTGTAATTCTATGAGATCGCTACTCTTTGCTGACAGTGTGTTGACTAAAGCACAGCATGCTCTCCATGCTCTACTGGGCAATGTCAGGGGCATTTCTGTCTGTTACAATGAGAGCTGGCACCTACTGGACAGAGACCAAAATAGTCTGCTAAACACTATACAAGGAAGTCAAGAGCTCTTACCAACACTGAATTACCCCACTCTGCCAATAGTCCTGAAGTTGAGACATCCTGTGTTAAACTTCATAAATGACAAATAAAAATACATTAACCCCCCTCCAACCCCCCCCCCGGGATTCTGTCCTAAGAATGTTTCACAAATGCTTTCAGTTCTGGCTCCAATTTAAATCACTATAACTGGAAGTCATGAGCATGCCACACAGATCAAAACAACCCTCCAATCCCAGAGAAATCCAAATGCTGAGGCTCAGATGTATTCAAAGAAATATGCTAAATCCAAGTTGCGAAAACTGTCACAACAAGAAGTTGGATTCCTGCAGACCAGGCCCATATTTACTTCGAAATAAGGACATTCTCCAAGAAAATGAAGAAATAATTGCTTCTTATGAAAACAACAATATATAAGCCAACAAGGATAGCTCAGAGAGAAAAGGCACCTGTCACCAAGCCTGAAGATATGGGTTGAGTCCCCTGTACTCATTGGTAGAAGAAGAGAATCAATTCCTGAAAGTTGTCTTTGGACTTCCACAGTTTCAGGTACTGTGCATATACACATGGCACAAAGACACGCAAACAAACAATGTGTATGATCAGTACACATGTATGTCAGGCATGGCGATGCATGCCTATAATCCTAGCACTCGGGAAGCAGAGGCAGGAGGATCACCACAAGCCTGAGATTAGGAGAAGCTACACAGAAGATGTCAGGTCAGCCAGGGCTACATAGTGGGATCCCATCTCAAAAATGGAAAAAAAGAAAGAAAACCACCAAGACAGACAATAAAAACAAAGATAAGTAAAACAGGAAGTGAAAAGAACAAAAATTAGACACCAATTAGATGTCTTGAAAATAAACCACGTGATCGGTTAAAGTTTAAAAAAAATTCTACGGACAGAAAAATTCAAAGTACAAGAGTGCATTGTGTACTGGAAGAGCACTGAGGATCACTTGGGACACAACACAGAATGACAGAGAGAGGAATATATATATACATATATTTGTGTATATATGTATATATGCACACATATGTATGCACACATATTTATATGTATGTATACATGGATATTTATTATGTACAAAATAAGAAAATATCTCCCATGTGCCATGCAAGAAGTTCGCTTGGGTGCCAATGCTGTGTAAGTGGACTGGGTATTAAATGACTAATTGAAAGTGATGTTATCAACTTGAAACTATGAATAGTATTCCATATAATCCCTGACAACTGATGGTTAGAAAAAAAATAACCGACTTTGAGCTTAGAATTTTGATCTTTCCCTAGGCTACTCAGTGTGGTTCTCTCTTAAGATGGAGGGTGACCGCAGTGAGCTATAGCTCCCTGTCAACTATGGAATAACCAAGAAGACAATCATGGCTCTTTGACATATTGCATGGCTAGAAAATGATGAGCAACTGTGTGCTTGTTTGATTGTTTCCAGGCAGAATCTCACTATGTAGCTGTGTAGCCCAGGCTAGACTCAAACTCCTGATCCTTCTCCATCAGCCTCTTAAGTACTGGAATTCCAGGTCAGTGCTACCAGAAATGGCTCTGTCTTAAGATATTTGCAATTCAGGATGGGTATTGAGAAGTTGTGCCCCTGCGTGCCTAGAAGCATCTGGAGTTTAAAGTCTTGCTCACACACAAACTATGCTCTGTCTTATCCGGCCTTCCATTTGTTTTACAGGTGTTTGTCTTGGCTCCCCAGCAGGCTGCAAGCACCTTAAAAACGGGCTGTGTTTACCACACCTTTGTGTATATATAT